TATATATATATATATGTTCAAAAAAATTATAAGTACACATGTTCAGTTATTTTCAAATACTCGGACATCTTATAACGCAATACAATGCAGTAAAATTAAGTCAAAGCACATATTATTACAAAGATGAAAGATTAAAGAAATGAGAGTACAACTGAATCTTTGATTTCGCTGCGTGTTTGGCGAATGTGTTTCTCTTTTCTCAAACGTCCTATTCATCATTCATAGTCTAGAAATTGCTCGAGTATCAAGATTGCATAAGATGTAATAATATGAAAATGTAAAATATATAAATTAAGAAATAATTGTGCTTTATATAAAAATAACTAAATATAAAGTAACTAAAAATAAATAAATAATTATTAATAACGATATTCTGCCCATAAAACGAGATAGATATCGACAGAAAAATTTTGTATTTATATATAACTATAATTGCACGATAAAATAATTATAATTAATAGCTTTATTTTTGTAGTTATTATATATTGCTATAACGTTATAAGTAATAATAATTTATACTGGTATCAATTATCAATATACTGCAAACAAGTATATAGTTGATACTGAAAATGATTATAAATTACAGTTAATATAATTAAATTATATAGTAATTGCAATCATTTTCTTCTCTCAATATAGATACTATATGTGATGCCTCATTTAATTGACATGAAAAAATATGCATAAAAATTAATATATGGATATTTATAATAATAATCTTTTGCATGTACGCGCGATAAGAACATTCTAATAAAATTTCTCAAATAAATAAAGTTTTATATATGTATGTATATATATATATATATTGTGTGTGTGTGTGTGTACATAATAGACGTATAAATAAAAACATCAATAAATAAAAGCAATTTATGCTGTGCTGTTTATTACATACTTTTTAATGTCGCTCGGATTAAGTTTTAATCATTCGCTAAAGAGGATTAAAGACCGTCGTTGCAGATTCAGCTTAACATCTACATACCAATGTATACATAGATTATAATATAATAATTGTATCACCTCCGAAAAAGAATAAAGAATTGAAAATATAAGCAAACAGAATATTAAAAAATGCTAAATTTTCTTATTTTTATTGAAATTTTATTTTATACCTCATTATTTAACTTTATTCGATTTAATTTTAACCACAATATATAATTTTAATATTTAGAAACGTAATATTGTTTTATTCATTTTTTGTTTAATTTTTTTATTCGATAAAGACTTTTAAATTCGCTGCAATTTATTTGATAATTAATGATATACTCTCTAAATAAAACAGCTAACTGTTTTAGTATTGATGGTTATAAAGATTAAAAAACAAGAGACAAAGAAACTTGTCGTGAGATAAAACAAGAAAGAATAGAAGGGTTGAAGTTATCAATTAACGTCAATTTCTGCTAATGTCGGTGGCTTCTCTCGATGTTCATCAAGCCTTCTCTTTCCCCTTAATTTGAAAATGACTACTTACTACGAGAATATGAGTATTGACATTTAAACATATTCGAAAGATAACAATGACGTAAAAAAGAAAATAAAATACATAATTAGATAGAATAGAATAATGATAATAATAACGATATGATGCTAAAAGAAAAAAAGGAAACAATTTTTATGTTTGTTAATTATATATATAATAATTAATTAATTATATACATAATAGTTTAAACTTATAAAGTCTTCTAATTCTTTCGATTTCTTAATTAATTTCTAAGCTGTAAAATTGTATTATTTATAATAAATACTTTTACATTTCTAAATTTTTCAACCTATTTATTCTTTCTTCAAAATATTGTTACTAACATAATTAAATTAATTTTTAGTATTTTGATGCAAAATTGATTACTTAATGAATTACAAAACAAATAGTTTAAAAAATAATGAATGTGTGTGTGTAATAGTAATCATTTTATATTAATAGTGACATTCTTTATTAGAATAAAATTCGAATAAAATTATTTAATCTTATAATTTATTTAATTTACTAAGTAATGTTATTAATAATAAATATTACAAAGACGTTAATAATAATTTGGAAAATAAAAAATGCAAATTTATTTGTTGCACTCAAAAATACAACAAATTAATAATATTATGTAATTTATTCAATTAACGCAACATTAACAATTAGAAAGAAATTACCAAGTGTCATGCAACTGATTTCATTGATTGAATCTAAGTAAACATAAAAAAAAATTTGTATATTAATAGCTACTTCTCAAATTGCTTTCTCACTGAACATATTATTGGTATTTCAACTCTAGTTATATCTTTCTTCTCTTATCCTATACTCTATATTATCGTGTGTGCGAGGTGAAGAAGTCATCATGATAAAGAGCGAAGACCCATGAAGAGAGCAAAGCATATTATATTTTCAGAATAAGAAAATATATCTTCTAATTTCAATGTACTTGAAATTGAAGATTAACAAGAAATATAATATTTTAAAATCTTTTCAAATAATTAAATTTAGCAATTTATTTAGTATAATGAAAAGTTAATTAATTAAGAAAAAGTTAAAGCTCAACTACAAATAAAAAGTTATAAAAAATTAATTAAAAATTAAAAAAAGTATTTTAGGTTATAAAATTTAAAAGTTCAAAGTGCTTAAAACAATATAAAAAAATAACATTAATAATAATTCTAAAGAATCTAATAATAAGAAAGAAAAAAATATATTTTCAAGAATATTAATTTAAATTCTAAATAGAAAAAAATTAGCGTTCAAATTCAATTAACAATTGCTTTACACATATTTTAACAATTCTTGCATTCTTGTCGAGACAATCGCAGGAAATCGAAAGTAACCTTTAACCCTTCAGCACATCGTGCACGTAAGCAACTAATTTTATGTAGTAACACAATTTTTTTTATTCAGAGACGATATGCATATATCTATTAGATATTTTTATTAATAATCTCTAATAAAATTTTTGTCAGTCTTCCACTATTTTAATATTTTTTATACACACGTATGGATATATGCATATATATATATATATATATATATGCACATATATATTGCGCGCGCGCGCACGCGCACACCACACACACACGCACGCACGCACGCACGCACACACGCACACACGCACACACGCACACACGCATAGATGCATATAAATAAAATTTTAACAGATAATATAGATATATGTGTATAGCACAATTAATTATGATTTTCTGAAGATTAATTTTAATAGAGGAACAAAGATATTTGAATATCATAGATATGAGCAAATTATTAACAAAAAGTTTAAAAAAAAAAATCCAATTTAGAAAATATATAAATAGACGGAGGACTTTATGATATTGGACACAAGGAAGTAATTAAATTCTGTATAAATATACTAATTTTTTAAGTAAAAAACTATCAAGAGTCTTTTATTATTACAAACTAAAGTAAACCAACTCGCGTACATTCTTCACTTCGTTTCACTAAATGTGCTGAATCGCAGCTTTATTCTCGCGCGTGTTTTACAGTTCTACGTGAACAGAATAAAAAAAACTTCACTGACGAAGCGTGCTGGCCGTGCACGCTTGATGAGCTTGATATAGTGGTGCACGCACACAGCACAATTTGCAACAACACGCACAGCACAGCGACGCGACGATGACTGAACGCTAAGTGCCGTTGATTGGCTTGATATAGTAGGGCGCGCGAGCGCGCGGCGCAATTGGCTCCGCTGTGCGCGCGGGAAATGATTGGTCAATTTAATCCTAGAATGCGCGCCGCATTAAGCATTCAAACGGCGTTCAGTGCCTATTAACCAACTGCTTGGTGACGAGAAAAGAGACATCCATAGCTACCGTTATTTTCTGACAGTATTTTCTATTATCTTTTGATTAATTAATCGTTAGGACCTTTTCTCTCTGACAACAAAAATAATAAATTTTTGATTTTTGAATAAAATGATAAGAAAAACTTCTTTCTTTTTTCTCTCCTTCTTTCTCATAATGCATAATCTACAAAATGAAATGGAATAATACAAGTGAATAGAAGTAAACAAGGAATAAAAGTAATAGGAATGTACAATGAACAAAAACAGGAATAATATAAAAGTAAGTCATATATTTCAATTTTTGGTAATCATTAATTTCATAAATATGATTATATTTTAAATTATATAAATATGACTATATTTTAAATAAATATAAATTAATTATTATTATAACCGTATATATATATATATATTTTTTTTTTATTTTAAATTCCTAAACATTTTTTTAATGCTAGTTACGCCACTGTCTTTTCCCCTACTTCCGTGGCTTCATCGTCGATCACTCCATGCTGCCATTTTTTTCTCTCCCACTCGTTCTGAGTCAATTTACCAATTGAAATCAGTGTCGGTCGCGGCACTGAATAGTCCGCCAACCGACGGCGAATGATCTTGTCCCTCCTTTCCCCTTCATCTATCTAGAGGGGAACTGTTATCAAACTATTCACCGGTCCAGTAAGGCCCTCATTCAAATTCCGCGACGAGATTACTTGCGTTCTCGTCGCGAATTAAATCCCACATATAGATTGTCAAGCTAAAATAAAAAGAAGACATGAAAAATTCAAGAAGTTTAATTGAAGAATTCGAAGAAAAAGAATAAATTAAAAATTATGGGAACCAAAGGAATTAAGGGAAAAAGAATTTTACCTAGAAAATATTTAGTTTTTACTTGTATAATACTTTACTTTCATTCCAGTTTCACGTCGATTGTGCCTACCAGCATGTAAAGTAATTGTGTCGAAGTGAATTTTTGAAATCATCACCTACGGCACTACTACTTAGTATGCAAATAAGCTGGTGAATTAAAAATGTTCTTTTCTAATTAATTTATATTTCTTTTAAACTTCATCATATATTAATTATCTTCAAATATTTATATAGGAAAAATTAAATGTATATCAGAAATTGATATTATTACATATATAATTTACAGGCATTGATAGATGCATACATTTACAGAGAATATCGAAATTGATACTATTCTATTTTTTGTCATTAAAGTATCTACTAATTACATTTTTCAAAAAGGTACTAATGAATGTATGTTTAACAGACGTGAAAAGGATAGTTAGAGTTGTGAACGCACCAACGAGCGTTCTAATGGTGCTTCGCCCATTGTTACGGTCACAAATCGAAATATCCTTATTGCTATTTCTGTATGTATATTAATATGTATATTATTTTTTAAGAGTCTGAAACAAAATTAGCATATAATATTAGTATATGCCATACGTCTTTAAAGAAAAAATTTATATACGTACGTATGCAAAACGTTATGTAAGTGTGTATTTGTGTATGTTGTTGTGTTTAAACATAGTTTTGTGCACGCCCATACACATATGCTAATGTGACATAAAAAATTTACCACATAATAACGTTCTCAAATGAACACTCCGAAATTTACGTCGTAGAAAAACATATGTAAAATTAAAATTTTCAATATCATGAAATCTAGAAATTAACAGACAATTATATGCAAATTTTATCTTTAAAAAAATTGTGTACGAAAACTTTTATATTACGCTTATACTATGTACTTTGAAACGCTATAACGATTTTATGACGACCGTGACTTTCCCATGCGGGTCTATTTTAAGTACCAAAGTGAAGCAATGTTAGTACTACACAATGCCGATTACTTGCTTTATTTCCTTTTCATTTGTCATCTTTTGATTAGACATATGAATGTATTAATCATGTATAAAAAAGAAATCAATTTCGAGAAATTGCTAAAGAAAAGCCGAAAATAAAATGACTATTCTCCAAGTAGGACGCTGTATATCTAAAATAAATTTTTAATAAAATTTATTTTCAAGAATATTGTGTTCTAATATGTGTATGTAATATATTATATATTATATTAAATACTTTACGCAGATGATTTATGAATTGTAAACTTATTCCAGCCTTTGAAAACGAACTCTTCACATAACTATCAATTCACTTTGACACGTCGTAGCTAGAAGTACGATTGGTATCTATATGTAGCAGCAGCTTCAGATGGAATGCCACGAGAAATTGCCAACAAGTTACACATGCACAGGTGTTTCTTGAGATATCACGTGTGTCTGCTGCCATATGTTTGTTGTCTCTCTATCTTTGAGATCATTTTATATTCGAGATCTCTCTTCAATGCATCTCAAATTAATTTCATATTTTTTCTATTTGAAAAACATAAAAAATGTGTTATTAAATTTTTTCTATTATATATATTTTATGATCTCAAAAATTTGCTGAACATTGGTTAACTGATATTTTATTTTATTATAATTTAATAATAATTTGATATACATAAAGATCGATAACATAAAGCAAAAAGGAATATTCTGTAATTAGAAAAATATGAAATTAAATTTATTTGAAATGCATTGAGAATTAAAAGATCTTGAAAATAAAATGATATCAAAGATAGAGATAAATTTTTAATTTAATTGATTTTAATTTAAATTATTCTAATTTTTTAAACGTGAATGAAATTAAAAATATATAGAATATTTTGTAGACACTATTGCATTAAGTGTCCTCTTCTTTAAGATTAGAATGATAATTAATGTAAAGTACTCAGTTCTTTGTAAAAGAATTCAGAATCAAATTTTACAGTCACAGTTTGCCGAAAGCGTTTCAGGGGAGCGAGTGTTATTAAATTGGATAGAATGCCATGCGTGGGCTCAGGCCGGATACTCACCGAATGAATCTCATCCCAAGAGAGAGGAAGTCCGAATTAAGTCGAGAGATAGCTACTGCCAAGGGGTTATAACCAACAAGTTCTCTTTGGTATCCTATACAAACGATAAACTTATTGCGACTCCATTTGTCTCTTAATTGATCGATAATATTCTGATGAATTAGGGTATTGTAAAGAAATTGTAATAGTATTAAATTGTGCTATAATATAAAAGATTTAAAATAGGAAATTAAAATAAAAAATAAATAAAATGATAAAAGTGATTATAACATAGATAAAATCAAAAACTAAAAAACAAGCAAAATAAAAATATAAGAAAAAAATTTTAAAAATGTATTACATGATATTATATGAAATATAATTTTTATTTTTATTCAAAATATATATAATGTAAAAAAATATTTAAAATATAAATTTTTCAAAAAAAGCACTTAAAAATGTGAAGAGAACTCGGTAAAAAGATTTGAAATGTAATAATAAATTCAGATTTATTAAAATCATCTGACTCTGTCTGCGTTTCTTATATCATATATTGCTTCCAATAGCTTTATACTTTTAATAAGATATATGTATATATGAATATATATAGGTAGGAATAATCAGAATCAATTTCACAACATGATAGAAAAGGATGAAAGGAAGAGTTTGAGGATTTTTTTTATAAGAGATTATATATTATAATAAATAAAACAGTGTGTATTAATTATTGTGTATAATTTAATCCTAATCCTTAACTATTACTTTTATAATTTTATATATATTGCATAATACATATTTAAATATTGCAGCTATTATAATTATCATTTCAAGACATTTTTACAAATTACATATTGCATATATTACCATGACATATTATTTCTATGTATGACTGTACAAGATAATTTATTAACGTTCATAATTCAACCTTTTTCGCAAATAATGTCCACTACGCTGGGCTCCATCAAAACAGGATCCAGACATCTATGGACTGCACTACCTAAAATCTCGTCTAGCAAAAAGTGAACCACACTACAAATAATAATAATAAATATAAGTAAATATATATATACATGTATATATACATATACATACACACAAATCATTATAAAAATTATTAATATTTACTTTATATTTATTTTAATTAAAAATTATTAATTATTAATTATTATAAAGTATTTTATAAAATTAAATTTATAAAATTAAATCGAAATCTTTCTTACTTTTCATCTGAAATCCTATTATAAAAAATTACTATTATATTAAAAAATAATTATTAATAATTTAATTTTTTATTCAATTAGATGTAAGCATGACAGAAGCATGAAACATATTGCGTAGTGAACGATGGCAGAGTTGGAAGGATGAATCAACTTCATAAAGTGGATAATGGTCGTGCTATTTTGTCATTGCGACTACTCTGCACCTGAGCGATTATTAAGCCAGTACAATGCCTGCTAGAAGTATTATTTCGCACAAATTTTTATTCCTATATATACTAGAAAATCATTTTTAAAAAATAATAAATATTACAAAAAAATACAATTTAATTAATACTGATCTCATTAATAATAAATGATATAAAATAACAATTAAAAATTGAACTATAATATATAAATACAATACAATTGCATTATATTAAGCAAAAGCAATAAATCGCTCGTTATCTTACTTAGCAATACATAAAAATATTTAAAATGACTACTTGTGAGCAAAATTATAAAAATGTAAAAACGCTATATTTTTTCACAATTACCATATTGATTACTGTTTCGACTTCATAGAATCTTTTTCAAAATCTACATAGAATTTAAATCATGTTTAACAGAATTAAATAATACTTATAATCGCCAAATAATAAACTACCGTTAAGAGACCAAAAAAGTTAGATCTTTCTTCATATTTCATTTACTCTGTGCGAGAAGGGTCTTGATGAATATCTTCAAACAGAGAAATCTCAAAACTTTCTTGTTGATGAATCCTCCATCAATAATATTTTATTGTTTGACGACTAAAGTTTTGAAATTTCTCTGTTGATCTCTTAACAGTAATTTATCGTTTGGCAATTATATGTTCATTTAATTCTGTATCATTTAATTCTGTTAAAGATTTAAATTCTATGTAGATTTTGAAAAAGACTGTAAAGTCGAAACGTTGATCAATATTATAATTGTGAGAAAATATATAGCATTAAGCATTTTTAAATCCTTATAATTTTACTCATACAAGTAGTCGTTTTTAATATTTTTATTTATATTAGATATATTAAAAGATTATTTTATAATTATTATTATTATAAAAATATTATTAATATCACCTTCAAACTTATTTTGATGATCCCTGTTAGAATAGATGCCTTGTTGAATTGTACAGAAGAGAATATTTCAATTCGTTCAGAGAACAATTTATGGATATTTGTCACTAGAGAAGAATCGATGTGACTAGGTGTATAAGATGACCAATTTGATCTATAATGTTGTCTAGATATGCTAACACTAGAACAAATTTTTATTATGTACTCTGGTTTCAATGATCAAAAAATAATAAATTTCAAAATAGATGATTTAAATATCAGAGATTCCAAAAATTTATATAATCATATTTTATATTAACATTTTTCAGTTAACATTTACATGACAACTAGATATTAAATAAAAAAATTATTTAAGTGAAAATCTTTTACCTGTGAGTCTTTCTACTACTGTCGCTACTTCTATCGACCTGACCATCATTATCTTCGTATAAAGTGGCAACTTGTACATCAATGGCAGTTACATCTTCGACAACTCTCTTCATAACAGCTCTCACGGTTCTAGGTTCAATCGTGTGTAACCAATCCCTGGTCTCTACGGATTTTCTCAGCATTTGGGATACTGTCAATCCCTGAATTCGTACATAGTGATTTAATAAATTCTGAGCAGCTTTTTGAAAACTATCACACATTTCTGATCCGGGAGTTATGATATTTTCTGAAGATGCATATTGATCAATACTGAAAAGATCGTCGATAGTCGTAAGCTGCAAAATATAAATAAAATTATTAGATATTATACAGAGTGTCATTAAAATAGCATCACTACAATAGCACCACTCATTCTGAGCAGATAAAGTGGATTAAACTGAGTCGAAAAGTCTTCTACCATTTTGCGATTTTCGCAATGATTTCGAAATTAACGAGATATTAATTATTAAAAATCGCTAAATATTGATCAATAATTTTTTACTCAAATACTATCAACTTTACAGAAAAACAGTAAGAAACAAAAATGATTTATTTTCTTCTTATAAAGTTCTGAGAGTTTTTTTCAGAATTTTTTCAGAATTTTTTAATATTGTATTTTCTCATGGTGGTAAAAATAAGAAAATGCAGTACTAAAAAGTTGATAAAAAATTCTGAGAAAATTCTTAAAATTCTATGAAAAGAAAATTAATTTTTGTTTCTTGCAATTTTTCTGTAAAGTTGTAGTATTTAAGTAAAAAAAATATTGAAAAACAATATTTAGCGAATTTTAGTAATTAATATCTCGTTAACCATTGCGAAAATCGCAAAATGGTAGAGGATTATTCGACTCAGTTTAGTCCACTCTATCTGTTCAGAGTGGATGATGCCGTGTTTTAATAACTCTACACATACATACACATCTACTTGTACATCTTAATTTATTCATAATAGTTTGTTTATTATTGATAAACAATTGATGCGATCATGATTAATTAAAACATTTTTTAAATCTTTTTATTTTTGAATACCAGATAACGGACGTTGCTCTCCTTGTACTCGATACACATTTTGCTGAGCAGAAGTAATAGGGTAGGTGGAAATTTAGGTACATCGGATCCGTTGCAAAATCCAGCTACTGTAGCTGTAAGATGATGTAAAAAACCGATTACTAATCCTTCTCTAACTTCATCCACACAGAAACTTTGCAAAAATTGGGTTTTCAAACTGAATGACAAGTCTGGCTGTAAAAATACCTGGAACAATTATAACCAACTTAAGTTTCCATTGTTCATATTTACTATTATTAGAAAAACAGAAGATCCAATATAATTATCAAAGAAAGAAGAAAAAAGATTTTAAATGATAAAATCACAGAAGAAATTATATCACAGAATAGAAAATAAAATATAATTAAAAATTAAATTACATTAAATCAGAAAATATTAATGACATAATTAATCTTAAGAACTATATTAAATTAAATAATACGAAGTTCTTGCATCATGTTTACGTAAACATTATTAATAAATTTTAAATTTCAATCAGAAATTAAAAAATTTAAGAAAAACCTAAAATATTGAATAAAGAATTAAGTTAGAAGTACAAACCAATAAATCCTGTAAAACTCCTTTAATTTTTTCTATAGTAGGCATAATAAGCATAGCTTGAAGTTCCGCTAATCCTCCATCACCATCCTGTGTGACCTTAGTAGCTAAAGTTTGTCTTACTTTAACTAAAATCTCACTCAAGTGTTGCTTCAGATTATGCAAATGATTGCGACATTGTTTTCGGCCAGCATTTAAAACAAGATCAGTACCAATTCTGCAATATTATATTAACTTATTATATTGGGTCATCTAAAAAGTATCCGCGGTTTTTTGTCACTAGATGGGTTGATCATCAACACCATCTAGTGACAAAAAACCGCGGATACTTTTTAGATGACCCAATATAATAAGTTAATATAATATTGCAGAATTGGTACTGATCTTGTTTTAAATGCTGGTGTGCGTGCGTATGTGTTTATACAGATATTCTAAATTATTTATATATTTTATTTAATATGTATCTATTTTCCTTCACCTAGTAAAATCTGTCTCCTTGGACAACATATTCATCGCTTGTAATCTACGATGAAATCTATCAAGAGCTCTCACTAAAATTGCTGTATCTGCTACATCTTCTACTCTTTTGCTCATCAAATCAAAATATTTTTTCATATTGCTCAAAATAAACTTATTCAAATGATCCATAGCTTTTATTTCAAAATCATCAACTAAATCGTCTTCCAATGATCGATTTATGAACATATCATTGTAGGAAGTCACAATTAGACATAAATCACTAAGAAATCCTGAAGAAGCCATATCTACGAACTCTATAATGTCATTTTCGCACATATCTTTCAAAATATCTAATTGTTCTGTTAATCTTTCTTCAGCATGTATCAAGAATTCAGTGCATAATGAATCAGCTGGTTCCTTTAATTGTAGCAAAAGATCTATATTTTCGGCTAAAGCTTTAGCAGAAGCATCTCTCTTATGAAATTGTAACCTGAGTTTAGATTTTAATTCTTCCAAAATATCCTCACAGTCTTTTTGGATGCCTTGGAAGGATGGCATGTTGCTATATTGATTTAAAACTCTTTGCGCATGAACATAATCTTGAACTGCCTGAAAAACAACAATTTATTATCTATAATTTAAAAATTATCTATAATTTAAGAGAGAGAAAATTTACATAAAAGACTTTATATTATTGTTACATTATATATTATATATATATATATATATATTCATATATAAAAATATAATGTATACTTCTGCATATTTTTCTTCGTTTATTTTATCCTTAAGATTGCCAGGTAGCTTGAAAAGAAATTGCAATTTTTTCAATAAAGTGTGTACAGAAGAAAGTTTAGCAATTTGTTGTCTTGTTCCATGTAAAGTTGAAGAGATCTGCTCTGAAAAAGAAGTGATGCTTTCCATATTCTGTGCTAAAAGATCCATGTTGTCCTCCATTTCTTTGAAATCAGTTTTCATCTAAAATATATTTAAAAAATTAAAGACAAATCTAATAATTTCTCAAAAGCTGATTTACCTTGCGTATAGTATCAGTAGCAGATATGAACTTATTATAATTTTCATATACCAAAGTCTGCATATCTGAATGTAATGCTTGAGTATTTTTTAGAATCTCTGCTTCGTGATCCATAATTTGTTTTAATGTGCATTCCTGATAAATAATTCAAAGAAAAGTGTAAACAGCATTTTGTTTTATTATATAAAATATAAGATATCTTCTTTTAAAATATGTATAATATTTTTATTTTAGAAAAAATAAGAAAGTAATGAATAAAAAGTAATGAATAAAATAAAACTTTTAAAACTAAACTCATAAAACTTTTCTCTTACCTTTAAAATCAACTTACCTTTAATAACTTTTGAAAATACATGTCAGAATTGAAATGTTGTCCATTAATATCATAAGTATTATTAGTATTCTCTGTCATATTTTGCCAATCTTCCTCTTTGATAAATAAATTTTACTTAATTCTTGACTTCTTAAATCTCTGATTTGTCAGATTTTTAGATATAAAAAAAAACAATATCGATAAAATAAATTAACTTTATTGAATCGAATCAAAGAGTTTTTTTTGTATACGTAAACTATTTTAAATTTATGTTTGAAAAGATGAAAATTACATATTACAAAAACCGATATGCTGTGTAAGTACATACAAATTCTTCAGTTTTCTGAAACTTGAAATTTATATATATATATATAAATTGTTTTTCTCTTCTGATATGTTATCTATTTTTTGTAATACGAAGCATTTAAATATATTACAGATAAAACCTAACAAAGCTTGATTCTTTGAATTGGAGATTGAATACATACATAAAGGATTTATTTGTAATCTCTCTGCATAACAATTTATAATTGTAATGGAATCAAAAAGGACGTTCAAAAAATCCATTTAGGATATTTTTCTTCAAAAAGCTAATATCTTTGAGAAAAGATATATAATATCATATAAATCAATTACTATATATATGCAATTACTGTATAGTGCTTTGCTATTGCCATGGCACAATTTTTTTAATGAATATTTTTGTTACTATACTGTATATTTATTTCCCAAGTAACAATATTAATTTTATTATTTATATGCATATATACTTACATATATTCTTCACTCTCTTATATTATTTTATCTTGCGGTAATGCATTAACAAGTGTTGGCAGCTATCAAATTGTAATGTTTGTAATGTTTGTAGGTTAACTCTAGATTATTCCACTAGTCTACTATTTCAATCTCCAGATGCTGCGCAAAGAAGCATAACCCTACATCGTTGTACGAAAGCGCAACAAGTGCGGGAAACTCCTTAAATAAATTTACAATATCTTTTCAACAATATAGATATTTTGAACTTCAGTGAAATACAGACTTTGAAGTTCTCTTTCAGTTTTATTCGTTATATGAAAAAAGCTTAATTAAGAGGTAAGATCAAATCATCGTATGTCTCAGTAAAACAAATTTTAAAACTGCAGCAAAATATGGAAATAAATTTCGCAAGTTTTATGAAATTGTAAAAGAAATAATATAATCAATTTTAAATTGAGTTTTATTTCGTTGTTATCATTTTTATTAATAGAGTTTTAAAAATTTTCTGTACTTAACCTCTTTTGAGTCTAACGAACAAGAGCAAAAAACAATTAACCTTTAGAGAGCGGAAGAAGAGTCTATTTTTTAAACTTTACGGGTTTTTTTTGAATAAATTTATTATAATTCATTATATTCCTTGACTTAAAATATACTGTTTCAACGTAATTATAGTGATTTCCTCTGTAAAGGTTAATTTTTAGTAAATAGAATAATTAATAAAGGTGTAAAACATAAACAAATCGGTGTTCTTTCGTTTCTATTGTCTTTTATTTATTTATTATAAATATTATTATAAATCTTTAACATAAGTTGAATTATTTTCAGGTGTAACGATAGCATATTTCGAAGACCTATTCCAAATAGAGTTCTATCTCAAAATTCAAAGTTAAATTTTATATAATATTGTGTTATCAACTTTGAAGAGAAAGAGTTTCTCCTTTGAAAAAAAGTCTTTAAAAATTATAATTTCAATTATATCTTATGAAAAAAAGACTTTTAATTTAAAAATCTCTTTCTTGAGTTTTGAGAACAATTGTAATTGTGTTACGAAAAAAAAAATTTGATAGTCATTTGACATCAATTTTAAAGAGAAAAGGATTTAAAAACTCACTTTGACTCTAAATAAAAAAAAAAATTTTTAAGATATTTTGAAAATCACACTTTTAACTGTAAACTATGGATAGAAAAAATTTGAGAATTCCTCTATGGGCTACTATTTCAACCATGAAGAAAAAGGATTCAAAAACCATATTTTCAAGTTAAAATTCTGAGAATGAAAGATTAAAAACTGTTTGATCTTTCAGACTTATAACTGTAATTTTGAACTATATAGATTTATTTGCTTTTGAGACTTGCAATATCCTAATCATGCCACATCCTTGCGTCGTCTGTGGTCGTTCACGCCTGAACCCCAACAATCGTGAGGAGGAGTACATGTTTTTCGGCTTTCCAGTGAATGATGAAACTCGTTGCTGTCGTTGGCTAGAATTTTGTGGTCGTGAGGATCTATACAAGCTCTCAAAAAAGCAGCTTCTTCAGCGTATGATCTGCTCCAAACATTTCCAGCCGCAAGATTTTCTTAATGAATATATGGATCGTTTAAATTTGACGGCAGTTCCATCGATTTATGATCCTAAACAGAGTTTGTATAATATAACATGTATTCTTTGTGAAAGAACACGAAAAGATCCACCTGCAGAGGATTACGACGGAACAACCTTTCACCATTTTCCTGGAGAAGAATTCCGCTGCCTCCAGTGGTTGGACTTTGTTGGTGTGGACTCCTATTACAGATTAACAAGAAAGGAAATTCTTTACTGTTATATCTGCTCCAAACATTTTGATCGTTCCCAATTTATGTCAGGATTTAAGGGAAGATTAATAGAAAATGCAATTCCCAATGTTCATAATCCAGATAACAGAAAAGAATCTGTTATTGAGTTACAAAACCAAACAGAATCCATTACTGAGTTACAGGCTGAACCAAAGCTTTTCAGTCCTTCAGGTAAGGGCAAAAAAGATCCACTGCCTATTACAGTATTGGAAAGCCAAGCTTGTGCAGCTTGTGGTCGGTCAAGATCCGATCCAAGAAACAAAATTGAACGTTACAAATTTCATCCATTCCCGGCATACGAAATAGGTCGATGTTTGCGCTGGTGTCAATTTTTGGGCAGGGAAGATATACTCAAAATGTCTCCCAATCAAATACGCAAACTTGTACTTTGTTCAAAACATTTTCAGACTGGTCAAAGTTTCCACAAAATTGGCCCATGTGATGCAGTACCCACAATTAAGGATATTTCTGAATCTGAAAATATTATAGAGCAAAATGAAGATGATCAGGACCTTGGAGAAGATAGCAAAGATCCTTCCAAAGCGTTTAAGCGTGAGAGACCATTAGTGTCTAGTAAAAAACCCAAGATTGACAATAAACCTGCGCCATTGGCAAAAAAACGAGGAAAATCCCGAAGACCAACTTCCATTAATATTCCTAGGCCTGTTCCCAATTATTTGGACAATCAAATAATTAAAAAACTACCTCTTCCATCTGCAACTAATTGGAAGATTCAGTTGGGAGATCAATTGCAGCCAATTACAATTAATAATATTTCTTCAAATGTTGCAAATAATCAGGCAAACATTAAGAAAATTATAGTACCATTTACTGGCGATATATCAACTCTTGGTGCTCCGATACCAGTTCACAGTTTATCAAGTATTCCTCCGGGATTACTGATCAAAATAGACTTGCCAGAACAAGAACAACAACGTCAAGAACAACAGCGACTGCAACAGCAATCACAACAGCAACTACAACAACAGCGACCACAAAAGCGATCACGACAACAGCGATCACAGCAACAGCGACCACAACAGCGATCACAACGATTGCAACAGCAAAAATTATCAAAGGTGAAGAAGCAAAATAAGACAAAAAACATAATAAATAGTTCGAATAAACAAATTTGGGAAAATAATAATGGCCAAACTTCCATTATATTGGAAAGTGAGAAACAAAATATAGATAAAAATCTAGTAGAATTTCTAAAAGTATCTTCAGAACCTGTAGAAGAGACTTTAAATTCTAATGAAATAGAAATGCAGGAAGAAGTGATTCCTTCGATGTTATTGAATGTTGACAATGAAGTACAGGTTAGTTGAATAAAATATTTTCATATTTGTTATAATATTATAACAATTACAAATATATAATTCCAAATGTGTTTGGAAATAACAGTTATTTATAATTATTTGTAATTTCGTGATTGTAGTTTTTATAATTAAAACGTTATCAATAATTTAGAACAATTAAGTTTTTATATGAGTGAACTTCATTTGTAAATTAAATATAGCATAATTCAATTATACATACACATATATATATATATATATATATATATAACAAATTATATATAATTGTTATAAAATTAGATCATATATATATACAAAACTGATTAATTATTAATAATTAATGGATAAATAAATGAAAAATAGTTTTACATTTATTAATTGTATTTACGAATAGTAATCCATGTGGGATAGAGAGAGAGAGAGAGGGGGGGGGGGAGAGGGGGAGGGGGGGGGGGGGGGAGAGATGGGGGAAATCGGTCTTCAATAACAGACTTTAATAACTCTTAATACTGATGCAGATAAAGGAAGAACACTATTCCGAAGAGAAAAAAAAACTGATGAAGAAGAAAATTTCAAGTAAGAAGGAAAAACGGCAGAAGAAAATTTCGAAAACCATGAAAAGAACCATGTTTCCTATCAACAGCGAGATTAAATATTTCTTCAAAAAAATGACGCCACTGATGCATCGATTACCAACACAGGCTAGAGCGATGATGAAATTATCGATTGTTAATATGGTAATTGATCAACTCTGAAATTACTCTGAACCTTTTATTTACTATTTTGGAATCAAGATTTTCTTCATAATTTTTTTATAATTTTGTTAATTAGATAATATTTGAAATTTTCAAATAATATTGCTGAAATTTGTATCTTTTCGAAAATTATTATCTAATATATTTTCTTTATCTAATATATTTCTTAAATAAATTCTTCAATTATGTTATATTGAATAACGTTCAAGAATCCCCCCAAAATTTATTTATTTGAACAATGCGAGTTATTAGAAAAAGATACCATAAAACAGCTTTTGAAAAATAAAGAAATGAAGAATCCGAAAATTGAAATAGAATTATAATTTAATGTTTTATAATAATATGTTTAATAATAATTTGTTAAATTTCTATGATTTAATTGTCGGTTTTTAATTAAATAACCCACATAGTATATATATGCAAAACTTTTTAATATTTATGGCAAGAATATAATTTAAGCATTAAAGTTAATAGCAATATTATTGTTTTACAATATCGTTTTACCAATGATTTACATATAACATCACACAAAGCTGCTTCGAATTAATAATAAAAATATATACAAAGGAAGATGTTAAGTTAGAGCCGTTCTTCGGCCAAAATGAAAAAGTTCTGAAATGTACAAATTATATATCATATTAAACTATATTTCGCTTATCTTATTATTTAAATATATGAACGCGCTTCTTTTTGAGAAGAGAAATTCCGCAAGACATACAATTTGACATCATAATTACATAACGCAATAAGATATAAGTACTGTATTCACTGTGGCTATTTTGTTATAATTTCTATACGTATACCAAAGGCATAGTAGAAATAGAATACGCAGACGAATTACTAGATAGCTTTTAACGCTTGTTGAATCATTTCAACTCTGTTGTTTATAAAAAAGTAAGAACAAAGTTAGATAGTTACAAGCGTTATGAGTGTCAAGAGGAACGCAGTCCTAATAAAATATGAAAAGCGTCATCATTGTCTTTTTTTAATACTTTTAATACCTCCAGTATGCATTAATCCTATCCATGTCTTGAAAAAATATGTAGCATTTATTGAGAAAATTCTATATAATCACTTTTTTAAATAGTCTAAATCAAAGAATTTCGAGGGCGAACTTTCCCGTGATCCTGATGTTTCTTCAAGATAAGTGTGTCTTCAACATGTTTCTTCGAATCTACTTAAGTAGTCATTTAATTCGATATATATAATTTATACATCTCAAAACTTTTCCATTTTAGCCGAAAAACGCATATATATAATTTAACATCCTTCTTTATGTAACTTTGCGAAAAATTGTACAATTAATTTGGAAATGACGCCTCTTATTATTAGAACAGAGGTAAAAGCTGAATGGAAACTAAATTTTCCAATATAAGGGCCAATGATTAAGAAACTAATCTGGTTTGGAGAATATGTAACACTTAAAAAGATTCTGTATACATGAG